GGGCTGGTGAGATGGCTCAGTGGTCTAAAGCACCTACTTGGAACAAGCTTGGCAAAGCACAAGGACCGCGGTTCAATCCCCTAGCACCACATGCCAGCCAGCCCCGCCCCCTGGTGGGCTGAGCTGGCCACACACACACACACACAATAAATAAATGTAATAAATAAAAATAAATAAATATTTAAAAAAAAATAAAATAAAATAAAATAAAATTTAAAATATCTTTCAAAAATTAAAACTTAAAGAGAAAATAAAAATTGGAAAATATCTGGCAGCAAGTATGACTAAGGCATACTAATATTTAAAGAGTACAAATGTATAAACTAACAAAAAATACTAAAATAGGCGCCACAATAGGCAAGTGATAGAATTTAATTCATGTATTAAGATATATGAAGCACTAATAAACAAAAGAAAACATTCCAACTTGTTTAAATCAAAACAATGCAAATAAAAAACTATATATTTTAAACTATCAAATTAGCAAAATTTCTTTGCAAAGAATAATGAGGTTAGAGGGGTAAACTAGATGTATGCTCACGCACTACTATTAAAAGTTTGTATCAGAGGGCCTGCCAAATAGCTCAGCGGATTAAAGCGCCTGCAAGCAGGTGCAAGGGCCCCGAGTTCCACCCCTAGGCCTGCCACGCCGGCCCCGCCCCCAGGCCAGGTGGGAGGCAATTGAGATTGGGTGTGGTGGTGCGCACCTCTAATCCCAGCTGTAAACAGGTGGATCACTACGAGTCTGATCTAGCAGTGTGACCCTGAACACCTGCCCTGTAGACCCTTCCCTAAAAATAAAAAGAAAGAAAAGAAACGAAAGAAAGAGAAAAAAGAAAAAAAAGTTTGTATCAGTAAACTGTGAACAATCATCTGGAAGTGCGAGTCAGCAATGATTATAATTCTTAATTATAATTATAATTCTTAATCCATTTCTATCTCCAGAAATCTACTCTAAGGAATTCTAAGTATGGGAAAGATTTATGCACACCAACGTTCAATGTAGTGTCTTTAAATATCCAACCCAAAGAAATGGTTGAGAAAGTGAAATTCATGTTTAAGAGGGTTTTTGTTTGTTTTTGAAGGAGGAAAAATGAATCCCGCGGGGCGGGGCGGGGCGGGGCGGGGCGGGCCCTCCTGACAGCTGTTCCTGGCAGAATCTGCTCCTGGGAGTCTGCAGTCACTTGAGAGCTCTAAATTAACTCCCGGACGCTCTGGAGAGGTTGGGGCATCGTGAGACAGTGATCAGCTCCTGTGGAGCTAGCTTCCCGGGGCCTGCGCCTGGCTGGGCGGGTAGAGCTCCCGCACACAGGAGGCATCCCGAAGGTTTGGGCAAAGGTCCCTGAAATACACGGAGCCGCGCCCTGCAGCTTCCGTGGCCCCAGTGGAGTCTGTAGAACGGCGGTCCCCGGTCTTTTTGGCACCAAGGACCAAGAAACGGCACGATGAGGGGCTGTTGTTTCTTTTTAATTGTGTGGTTTTGGTGTGTAATAATTAAATTCCTATCACTACCTCTGAGCATTCAAGTCTGGATCCCAGGCCGTGGGACCACCCCGCTCCTCCGAGAACGCGGGGCGCCCGCACCCCTCCCTGCTACCAGCGGAAGTGTGGGGAGCAGAAGTGTGGGTACCTGCGTTCAGGGCCAGGACTCCGGCCGGTGTGACTGGGGTCCCGGCGGCGCAAAACAAGGCTCTCAGCCTGATGTCCACGGTGTAAGCAAGGAGCCAAAGTGGAGAGAAACGCCTACGACCGCGTGTGCAGCCTCCCAGCAGACGAGAAACGTTTGCTTATTTGTTGTTTTTTGAGGCAGGATCTCTCTATGTAGTTCAAGCTGGCCTTGAACTCAATGTGATCCTCCTGCCTCAGCCTCCCAAGTGTTAGGATTACAGGCATGAACCCAACACCCGTTGGGAATTTTTTTTTTATGAACTTTTGGTAGTAGGGGTTGAATTCAGGACCTTGAGCTTGCCAGACAGGCTCTTAAGCCACTGAACTATCTCCCACACCCACAGCTGAACTTTTTTTTTTTTTTTTGTGGTACCAGCGATTTAACTCAGGACCTTATGCTTGCCAGGCACACACTTATTCTACTGAGCCATCTCCCCGGCCCCCACAATCGAACTTTTAAACTTGGGATTTTCTATTATTTTACTTTTGAAGGATAAACTGGCTCAAACATAAAGTAGGTGAGTGGTCCATGAAAATATTATCACGCTGTCATCCATGAAAGTGGTAGATTTCCTTGTATGGTAGCTTTACGTATTCTCAGGACTGGTTCTCAGCTTGTATGCTGTGGTCGGAGTAGGTATAATGTTAATGCACAGCGCAGCTACAAATGCTGGTAACGTGATGCGTGATGCTCTTTCTACACAACAGACACTTCAGCTGTTGCCTCGCTAGGATGGAATCGCCCCACCAGCCTCTCCCACACTTGTGTGCCATTGGAATCACCTGGGATCTTTAACAAATCCCAGGTCTCAGGCCATTCCCACGCCAATTATACACTCTCCAGAAGTGGGATGTGGGCGTGGGGATTCTGACAGTAGTTAGTGTTCAACAGCAGAGACCCCAGCTCTGGACTCCACTGCCGGCCCCAAATATTGTGCCGGTGCTAAGGGGAGTTCTCACCTCACAGGACAGACAGGTAGAAGTTGAATGAAGCAGAACACCCTTCACGGTGCTGCAACCAAAGCTAGTACACACACACACACACACACACACACACACACACAAAGAAAAAGAAGAAGAAGGCCCATGGAGCTGGCTCAGTAGAATAAGCGCTTGCCTGACAAGCACAAGGTCCTGAGTTCAATCCCCAGTACCTCAAAAAAAAAAAAAGCTAGAACACAGTAAACGACAGCTATTTCTCTAAAAATTCAGGAGCCAAGATGCCACTTAAATGTCCATGGGTAACAAAACTGTAAGCCACTGTTAAGTTTACTTATTAGGAGAGGCTTTCCTCTTAAGGTTCAAAGTATGGAAATAAATATTAGTGAAATGTATTATGAACATATGCTCCTGTTCTTTCATTGGTTTATCTGTTTACAGCCTTCTCTCATTTGAGATTTGCTTACATTAAAGACGCATGTACAGGGGGCCAGGGACATGGCTCAGTAGAATAAGCGCTTTCCTGGCAAGCACAAGGGCCTGAGTTTAATCCCCAGTTCCACAAAAAATAAAATAAAATTTTTAAAAATAAAATAAAAGTCCACCACTTGGAGAATTTTGGGGCCAGTGAGATTGCTCAGGAGAGTAAGCGCTTCCCTGGCAAGTGCAAGAGCCTAAGTTCAATCCCTGGTTCCAGGAAAAAAAAAAAAAAAAAAAAAAACCACGTACACTACAACAGGATGAGTCTATTTAAGATGAACATGCAAGGAGGAAGAAAGAAAAACAGTACAAGGATAGCCCAGCCTGGACAACTTAGCAAGATCCTTCTAAAAATATGAATGCAGGGCTGGCGAGGTAGCTCAATGGACTAAATACATAAAAAAGGGCCAGGGAGATAGCTCAGTAGAACAAGTGCTTGCCTGGCAAGAACAAGGGCCTCAGTTCAATCTCTGGTTCCACAAAAAAGAAAAACAGGAAAAAAAAAAAAAAAGAACTATACCCCCAAATACATAAAAAAAAAATATGAATGCACTGGGGAGATAACTCAGTGGCATAAGCACCTGCCTGGAAAGTGCAAGGTCCTGAGTTTGATCCCCAGTACCAAAATAATAGAAAATAAAATAAAAATGGGAAGGGAGGGGAGGGGAAAATTGGGGATATTGCTCCATGCAACAGCCCTGTATTCAATTCATTACTAGGAAAGTGTCTATATAAATATTTGTGGCTTGATGGGAAGGAAAGCACAATTTTGTTTCCTCTTTCAAAGTTTACTTTTGATACAAGTTTCACAAAACGAAAAAAAAATAAGGAAATGTTGTAGTACACCGTAAATGGTTGTATAGAAGGCAAGATTAATTTTTTTCCAAAAGAGGTCGCCTCATATGCAAATATAACAAGAGCTCCTCAAGAGACACTTTTTCCCTTACTTATTTTCCCAATAAAAACTAATCAAGGAAAATATACTGGCCTGAAACAACTGGAATAAATGCAAGCATGGGATAATTAGAGTTCTCCCTGCCAAAAGCAGCACTTCAAAGGGGAAGGGAAAGGGCAAAGAAATTTAAAATGGATTTAGTAATTATTCTTTGAAACATGATCTTAAAATCACTTGCTGTTGCTCAAAACAAGCTCTAAACATTATATTGAAAAACAAAGCACGAGCCCACAACAGTAAAGAACGTAGTGACTGTCAAGGTAAAGTTCCCCTAGAGGATAAACGTCTTCTGTGGGTTCTACTGTTAAGTCACATGAACAGGTTCTGATGCCTTGTTTCTCCC